TGGCCTAGTGGTTACCGGACTCGTAATTGTGAGGTTGCGGGTTCGGGGTTCGAGCCGCGGGCCCGACGGGTGTCCTTGGGAAAGGCACTTTACACAAATTTCCTCACTTCACCCAGGTGGTAGTGGGTACCCGGCCTTAGACAGCGAAAGATCTTGTCAGTATGTTAGTGTTTTAGCGCCTATAAATGGCTGCTTTCACTGTATGCTTCACAGGAAGTTGAGGTCGTTTCAGAATGCTCTTAGGTCTGCTGGGGTAATAGTATAGTATAGATTGGGAAGCACATAGAGCTTGCTGTTGAGGGGGGATTTGCGCTATATAACTTCTATCTGTTATTATATAATATGTGTATACAGTGTAATTTAATACTATTTTCTTTGTACTCTTTCCCAGAAAATCATAGAGGTACGGACTTTTTTCTCTGCCATCTGAACGTCCGAGTGCCGGCATCGCATCTAGCTGAAGGCAAAGTCAACAACTGTTTCACTGTGCGGCTGTGCGGATTTCTTATCTGTGGGCAATCCGCATACATAATCTCACAACAGACATCGGGCATTCGTAGTATAGATCTACTTCTGTCTGATCAAGAATAAAAGGTTTACCACACATAAACTGTCAGTGAGAATTACATTATTTTAAGCAAATGGCGTCAAACGCTGTTGAGACGACTGCTGCAGCCATGGGCAACGTAGATCTAACATACGCGAGCAGTTCTGCCATTGACACTCTCACGTCTACTATAGCCACAGTCTTATCATCCAGTCTCGCCGGGGTTGATGAGATATCCAAAAACATGAACAAAGAAATGGAGGCGCCCATGAAGATAGACCAATATCTCCATTATCTGATGAGTGCAATCGTTGGTCCAATAGTTTGTATCCTCGGTCTAATCGGAAACGTCTTATCTTTGATCACCTGGTGTCGGCCTGGGATGCGGAGCTCAACTGGGCGGTACCTCACGGGCCAGGTAAGCGGCTGCATGACGTGTACAATATGTACTGTATGTGTATAGGTGTAAGAATCATGCCACTCGTTTACCAACAAACGTTAATTGTAGCTCCTCTGGATTGTTTTTCTACAGATATGTGTAGGGTCTCTGGTTTTTTGTTTGTTTATTTCTTTGTTGGTTTGGGGTAATTTTTGCGGGAAGAGGGTTGTTATTGATGTTGTTGTTGCTGCTGCTGCTGCTGCT